GCTTTCTAAGACCCGCTCGATGACTGACATGCTTGCGAGTCTCTTCGACGAGTCGCCCGGAAAATGTGCAAAAATGTGACCAGATGTGACCAGTGCACTCGGGCCAAGCAGGAGAGACAGCAAAATCGTCATGACAAACATGCCCGCCCACAGACAGACCCAGCTAGCTAGCTCTCCTTTGCTCTCTCTCTCTCTCTCTCTCTATACTATAATGCACTATCATATACTATAATATAATATAACATACCATAATATACTACAGTATACTATAAAATACTATGAAATACTATAAAATACTATAAGATACTATCTATAATATACCCTAATATGCTGTAATGCTCTTTTCCGGGCGTGGCCTTGTTGGGCACTTCCAGGGTGTTGCTGTTCGGCTGCCCAGAATTCCGGGCCGGCGCTACAAAGCCTCGCAGGAACGCAACATAGGGGCCTTAATAATCGGAATAGGGTCTTGGGGGGGTCCTTTAAAGCGTTCTTTAAAGGGCTCGATAAGGCTGTAAGGGCTACTATAAGGGCTTGTGTTTTTTTAGGAGCCTTAATCATTAGAATAGGGTTTTGGGGGTCATTATACTCATACTTTTAGTAGGGAACACCCAAAATAGTATAGGTAATCATTTAGGCCCCTATATTACAGAGTGCCAATGGCACCTCTCAGAGACTCTCGGGAAGTACGAGGAGCTTCGGCAAAAGAGGCCGAGGAAGTGAGGGGCCCAAGATTTCAAGACTTTCTGGTTCAATCGAGTGCTTTAAGTTCCTGGCCTTTGGGCTGACTCTTCGGGTTTCTGTGAAGCACAATCCCAGGGTGCACATACACTACCATCATGGAATCAGGCCGCCAAAGACCATCCTCATAATGGTTTTGGGGGCCCTGAACCCGAAACCCTAAACCCTAATTCCAAAATAGTAGTACGTATGGACCCTCCTGGAATCTTCGAAGCCTGAGCTCGACGTCACAGCAGCAGACTTCCCGGAGAATCCCCAGCACCACCCTAGCCTGTCTCTAGCGATCGCTGAGGCTCCGGCCACCTAAAAGCTGACCTAGAATTTAACATGGGGGCCTTAATCACTGGAATAGGGTTTTGGGCTCCACTATACTCTAAATATTATAAGGAACCTCCAAAATAGTACTGATAAATAGCAAGGCTCCTATATTATGTCTCATGTGTCTTTACTTGATGCCTACCCTAAACCCTAAACCCTAAATCGCAAGAGCAAAACTGAGATCTCTGAGAGTGGAGCTGTCTGCATCGTCGAAGCTGACGTCACGCTGCAGAGCCGCAACGAGGTCCCCTGGGCCGTTTTCGGGTTGTTTAGGGTTTATAGGGTTTACGGCTTAGGAAAGCAGGGCTGTTTGGGTTTTTGGACTTCCACCCGTGAAACACGCTTTCCTTCCACTCATGAGCGGAACTTAACATGCTGTTCTTCCATTTCAGCAATTGGTAGTGCTAGCAGCAGCGCTCGTAGCTTTCCTGCTGTACTCAATAATTGCAACTCAGCAGCTTTGGAAGCCTCAGTCCCTTATCTTCCCTATGAAAAACCCGGAAGCCCGACCCTCATGATTCAGGGTCCGGTCACATCACTAAACCTATAACTGCTTGCTGCGTAGTGGCCGAGGCTACACGGGGCTGCTGCCGGAGCGGCTTCGACCTGAGCTATCTAAGGTTTGGGGCTTACAGGATTTAGGGGGTTTGGGCTTATAGGGGGCTTATACGGTTTACTGTTGAGGCCTTGTAGGGTTTCGTGGTCGAAGAAATCCCTCTTTTGGACCAGTGGGAGGATCAGCGGACTTCTTTGAGGCTTTACGTGTTTCAACTCGGTTGCTATAAGGGTTCCAAAAGGGTTTAGGGGCCTTGGCAGTAATCTTAGAAGTACCTTCATTCGGACTAGAAGTATTTAGAACTTTCTAGTTTCTTATTTACGGCCCTATAGTTACGAAGCCCGATGATCCCGGAGCGCAGGGCTTCGGGTGGTGCTGGTGGTTTTAAGTTTGGTTGTGGTCGTTGTGGGCATCACCTGCTTTCATGGCTCCTGCCAATAACATCATCATCAGCAGCAGCAACCTGCATTGTTGTAAGTGCTGGTACCGGGGCTTCATCCCTCGAGTCACAATTTTCCGCTCTGAGCCGGTGGATTGGTAGATGTGGCTTGAGGGGTGGGGCTTGAGGATTCCAAAGCCAAGAGTTGAGGAGTCTACTGTGCGCATTTCGGTATGCAGGATAGTCGAGACGACTTACTCCATAACCTGCTTGAGAAAAACTTTGCCGAACCCTAAACCCTAAACCCAACCTCGTCGAATTCGTCTCAGTTTGCTTCAAACTGCCTGTGCTCGTGCCCCAAGCTCGGCAAACTGCTTCGGCGCGAATTGCCAAGGAGTTCTCTCCGTGCCGCTTGCTAATATAGATTAGAATAGGGTTTTGGGGTTAATTATACTATAATTGTGATAAGGAACCTCCCATTAGACCCTTCGCTCGCTGGATCATCATGTCGTTGGTTCGCTGACCTTCGCCTTCGTGCACGCAGTCCCTAAACACTAAACCCATAAACCCATTATTCGCTTCGCCGCAGGTGTGGTCTGCAGAACCATAAACAGTAAATCCTAAAGCCAGAACCCTACAGTAGGGTTCAGGGTTTAAAAATGATAAATTTGTTCTCTTACAACTATCATAACTACTATGTGAAAAAAACTGTATACTAATTGTAGAAAAAACTGTCATTATTATTCTTGGCACTACTACTATCATTATGACTATTGTTATTGTTTTTATTATTGTGATTATTAATACTGTTATCCTTACTATGACTATTATTACCACTGTCCTTATTGCTCTGATGAGTACTGTTCGTATTATTACGGGGGGCTCCCGAGCTTTGGACTTCCGGATGAAGGGGGCTCGCAGGAGTTTTGGGCTGAGCCTTCTCTCTACTTGGAGGTTCATGGGTAGTTACAAGTGGGGTTATATGTCCCCTTATAGGGGTTATAATTATAGTTACCCTACTTATAACCCTGCTTATAACTACCCATGAACCTCCAAGTACAGATCACCGATCACCATATTTTTTAAGTGCCAAGGGGTTTAGGGCTCTTTCTTTTAGGGTTTAGGGGTTAGGGTTTTAGTTTAGGGTTTAGGGCTCCATTCTTTTGGGGGGTTTAGGGTTTAGGGTTTTAGTTTAGGGTTTAGGGCTCTTTTTTTTTTTGAAGTTTAGGGTTTAGGGGTTTAGTTTAGGGTGTAGGGCTCTTTTTTTGAAGTTTAGGGTTTAGGGGTTTAGTTTAGGGTTTAGGGTTGGGGTGTAGGGGTCAAGCTTTTCAAGTAAAGGTCTGAAGTTACGAGCCATGAGAGCTTCGATTTAAGGGCGGCGGGTGTACTGCGGGTGGGGCAACTTGCCTTGGGAATGCCCGGGAATTCGACACAGGAAGTGTTGGGAGGTCGAGGGTAAGCGGTATCCCTTAGCAGAACCCTACCTGTGAATCCTAGACAGGAACCCTTGTAGGAACAACCTTGCAGGAACCCTAAACCCTAGACCTTGAACCCTAAACCCTAAACCCTGAACCCTAAACCCTAAACTCTGAACCCTAAACCCTGAACCCGAATCCCTAAACCCTGAACCCTAATCCCTAAACCCTGAACCCTACTCCCTTTAAGGCCCGGGCTCCCTGTCCCTTGGGATTCAAGGCAGCGCTGCCTCTTCGGGACTAATTCGACTAGGGGTTTTGGGGCTCCGTTTAGGGTTTAGGGTTTAGGGTTTAGGGGTTCCTGAAAGGGTTCTTTAAGGGCGACTGTCAGGCATCTACTACAGGGGCCTGAATAGCGTTTGGGGCTTATTAGGAGCCTTTATAATTAGAAAAAGATTTCGGGGTATATTATACTTTGATTATAACCAGGAACCCCCAAAATAGTAGAATAGTAGTGATAATTATTAAGGCCCCTATATTACTGAACAGAGTAGAAGGTTCTGCCAAGGTGCTGGGAAGGCTTCTATAACCCCCGCTTTTGATAAGTATTGTACACGGGTCCTTTGCTGTGGTGGTCCTAAGAGATGGCGGCCATTCAGCTGTCCATTGCAATAGCGACTACAAAGGGAATCCGAACTTAGAACAACCCTCTCGGTGCTCTTCGGGAAACCCGGGACAGCCTTTTGATGTGGGGAGTTGTCAAAATTATGGTCCCTTTCGGGGTACCCTAAATAATAGGTGCCGTATTATAACAAGGACCCAAAAACATGTGGAGAACAACGGAAAAGCCTAAACCCTAAACCCTAAACCCTAAACCCTAAACCCTAAACCCTAAACCCTAAACCCTAAACCCAACCCTAAACAGCAGTAGCACTCTTCTGATTTACGGCACCTGGGCGACGTGGAGGTGGCCGTCGATGCCGTGGAGGAGAGGCTCTGACCTTGTGTTGTAAACCACGGTTTAGGGTTTAGGGTTTAGGTTTTAGGGTTTAGGGTTTAGGGTTTAGGGTTTAGGGTTTCGGGTTTAGGGTTTAGAGTCTAGGGTTTAGGGTTTAGGGCTGATTGACAGCAAACCCAGAGACTCCAATACCCCTTAATTAAGGAATATACCTTAAATTATAGTAGGACCCCTAATTAGATTTAAGGTATATTCCTTAACTAAGGGATATTGGAGTCTCTGGGAACAGGCACTAAGGTTTAAGGCTCGGGACTTGGGGATTCAAGGTTTAGAGCTAGCATTTGGCGAGTTTTTGCGGCTTGATTGTTCAGAGCTTAGGGGTTCCAGGCTAAGTTTTTTTGGTCCTGCCGTAAGCCCTAAGCCTCAACCTTAACAACCCTAAGCCCTAAACCCTAAACCCTAAGTTCCGAGTGGCAGCTGCAGCAGGCTAGGGTCTGGCTAAGTCATACTGGATGCTCCAAGTAGGTTTCTGCACAAGGGGATCTAAACCCTTCAAGTTCTTGGGTTCGTTGGTTCGGACAATAACCCCAAGCCCTAAAACCCCAAACCCTAAACCCTAAAACCAAAAAATAAACCCTAAACCCTAAAACCCTAAAGCCCTAAACTCAACCCTACACCGCTCAAAAAGAGAAGCCTGCAAACTCCAAAGCGCTGAACCTCGGAAGCCTCAAAGCCCCAAAACCCTAAAACCTCAAGCCCCAAAACCCTAAACCCTAAACCCTAAACCCCTAAACCATAAACCCTACCCCGTCCAAGCCAGAAACACGTTTAGGGTTTAGGGGTTTAGGGATGTAGGGGTTTGGGGTTTCAGGGTTTAGGGGTTTAGGGGTTTGGGGGTTTAGGGGTTTATGGGTTTCGGGGTTTAGGTGTTTAGGAGGGGTTTAAGGTTTAGAGTTTCTAAAAACCCCCAAACCCTCTGCACAAAGGACCCCCCGGAACCCCGAAGTGGGCTTTGGAGTTATGGAATAGGGGTTCAAGGTCCGGTGGTTTCTGTTACAGGATGTAGTGTTTAGGGTTCAGGGTTAGGGGTTTAGGATTTTGGGGTTTAGGGTTTATAGGGTTTAGGATTTAGTTTTTGGGGTTTAGGGTGTTTAGTCTTTAGGGTTCAGGGTTTACCTTTGGGCTTAGGGTAAACCGCTCAACAGTTCTGGCCATTGAAGTACGTCACAGACTGAAACAAACCCTGAAACCAACCACCATCTGATATTCCCTGACCAAGCTTCGACACGCCACAAAGACACTAGCACTCTGAGAAGCCGAATACGGCAACTATGTCTCATTCAGGGTTTAGGGTTTAAGGTTGGGGTTGAGGGCTTAGGAGCCCTGGCGCGGATGTGAAGCAGCTACGCAATTCGAGCCCGAAGCCCTCAACCCAGGCATCACTGGTCGGGGCCGGTGCTAGTCTGGTACGCTTGAGCAGACGCTGGTGCAATTGCAGTAACCTCAGCTCAGAGAGCGCCCAATGCCAGAAGGGAGTCTGCTTGGGTTTAGGGCTCAGGGTTTAAGGAGTTCTGAGGGGCTTCAAGGCCTAAGCCGTAAAGCCCAAGCCATAAAGGCTGCGATGCTCCTTCTGGATTCGGTATTCGATTCCGAGGTTGGGGGTTGTCAGAAACAGGCTCCAGTCTAAGGCATATCATTCCTAGCAAACCACGAGCCCCCAAAAACCCAAACCCTGAAGCCTGAACCCAAACCCTCATTTTCTTATTCAGCCCTAGACGCTGTTAAGCGAAAACTAGAAGAAAAGCCAGCAGCCGAGAGCCGATACCTTAGAGTCAAAACTCCATCTTCGGAAGTTGAATCCTTCAGCACCCAAAGTTTAGGTTTTGTTTACACTGCGCTGCGCCCCTTTTCTGTAGAGTTTAGGGTTTAGGGTTTAGGGCTTAAACTCATCATCATAAAGCCTTGAAAGCCCCTCCAAAGCCGTCAAGCCCTACACGACCGAAAGCTGAAGCTTAGTTAAAGCCATCCAAAAAAAACTCAGCTTCTCTTACAAAGGGGTTTAGGGTTCAAGGTTTAGGTTTGTTTTTCTTTTGGGGTTCCTTTTTTCCAGCTGCAGAATCCTTATACCACAGGCAGAAGGTCATGCGACCAGGAGGTCAAGCCCCTTGCGGCCCACCAAAACAAACACATCCCTCGACAGCACTGACCCAGAGAACCCAATACGCCCTAATTAAGGAATATACTTGAAATCTTCTTAGGGATCCTACTATAATTTAAGGTATATTCCTTAATTAAGGGGTATTGGAGTCTCTGGGGCTCACAGACAGCCATCTCACCCTTCGGGCTTTAGGGTTCAAGGTTTAGGGTTAAGCTAGCCCACCCTGAAAGGCTGATGGGTTTAGGGTTTAGGGTTTAGGGGTTTAGGGGTTTAGGGTTTAGGGTTTAGGGTTTAGGGTTTAGGGTTACTCTTCTAGAGCCCCAAACCCCTAAATCCTGAACCCTAAACCCTACGAACCAAAACCCTAAACCCCAGACGCTGAAAACCCTAAACCCTATATCCCAAAGCCCGAAACCCTCAACCCTAAACCCTAAACCCTAAACCCTAAACCCTGAACCCGAAACCTGAACCCTTAACCTAAACCCTGAACCCTCAACCCTAAAACCCTGAACCCGAAATTGAACGAAACCCAGGGCCCTCGCAGCTTCGCCGGGCTCCGGCTCGCTCGCCCGCTCGGACGCTTTCCTGCGGAACTCCCAGAACCCAGGCCCGCCCCTTCGTTTTTTTTCTGAAAAGCCGAAGAGGGTTTCGGGTTTAGGGTTTAGGATTTTGGGGTTTAGGATTTAGGACTTAGGGTTTAGGGGTTTGGGGTTTAGGGGTTTAGGGTTTAGGATTTAGGGTTCGGGTGAGGTTTGGAGATCTCAGCTAGCCATGATTTTTGCTGATATTCGTCGTACGCAAGACACTCGTCCTTAAACCGTGCTCGGCAGGGATCCCTTGAAAGATGACAGCATAAACCTTAAACCGTACGCCCTCATCACTGGGTCCGTTTCCAGCTCGGCTAGAACGAAGATCGGAAAAAAACCCTAATTGAGGTTTGGGGTTTAATTAAAGGAAACTACAGGTGGAGAGTTTAGGGTAAATAGGGCTTCTATAAAGCTTCCATAAGGTACATAGACCTTCTATGAGGCTCCTATAACGGTAACTACCCACCTGAAAAGGTCCTAGATTTAAATTTAAGGTTTCGGGACCTAAACCCTAAACCCTAAACCCTAAACCCGAAAACTGAACCTCAAGAGTCTAAAATCAACAAGGCCCAGACCAAGGCCACAGCGCCAAGCCTCAATCTTCAACCCGAAGTCACTCCCCTAAAATTCCTAAACCTACTCATATAAGGGCCTTATTAATAAATAGAAAAGGGTTTGGGGGTATATTCTACTAGAATTATAATTGAGGAACCTTGAAGAATAATATAGGTAGTTATTATTAGGCTTCTACGTTAGACCGAAAAGCCCGCAGGCCCCAAGTCCCCCCGCCCGAAAACCGGTTAAGGTTAGGGTTTAGGGTTTGGGGTTTAGAGCTTGGGGTTTAGGGTTTAGGGTTTGGGGTTTAGGGTTTAGGGTTTGGGGTTTGGGGTTTGGGGTTTGGGGTTTAGGGTTTTTTTTTAAAGTGGGACACGCCTTTGACTGTCGACGCTGCCATGCAGGCTACCACTGAGTGAAACTAGTTAGGCTCTTCAGACAACCCTGTACATCAAACTCTGGTGCACATCCTCGAGAAAGCGATCGCGAACGAGAGTCAGGTTCCAACATAGCTATCATTAACAAACCCACTCATTTTTGGGCACAGCAGTCACACCCTCTGCATCCCCATCACGAACTTCACGGTCAGCTGCAACATCCGAGGTAGTCACCATAGCACTCGACAGCATAGGTTCACCCTCAGATACTGCTGAACTTGCAGGTAGAGCAGCTAGACTGTCAGGGAGAGCACCGTCAGGCACAGGAAGGACAGGCAGAGTACCCCGAACAGGATGTGAAGGATCACCGTCAGGTACTCCAGAACCAACAACGGAAGCCACGCAAGGAGAGACAGCCAGGTGGCCAGGACGTACAGCCGAGACACCCCCAGCTGGAACAGGTGGTGCAGTCAGAGTTTGGCCATCCCGAACGTTTTGTAACTCCACCGGCAGCAGCTCCACGTAGTCACGAGCATTGTCCAAGACGTCGATCATTTGACGCAGGCAAGACATATGTAGCTCCCGTGTCAGTGAGGTACACCCAGACACCAACATGGCGCGACAGGGAGGCGAAGGAAGGAGCGGGCAAGCGACTTGGCGAAGTTCCAGCACATCCTCCAGTCCAACCAACATCCTCCGGTGTGTACGAATCACATGCCGAAGGACATCGACCATCCAAGCACCTTCCTCACGCGGCAATGCATGTAGCATCTCCAGCACTTGGCCAAGCTCCCGAGTGCACGGATGCGTCCACCCCAACTCCACCAACGTTTCACCCTCCTGCGCAGAGAGGACAGGAACACGCTGCATGAGGCCTGTCTCATCAACTTCAACATCCCCGGCAACTTCCCGCGCAGAAGGCGGCACACGGTCAGCTGGAGCAGCCTCTGTAGCCACACCCGCATCAGCGACTTCACGACGAGGACTGCGAGAGCGTGCATGTCGACGGCCCCCGGTAGGATCGTCGGACGAAGTGGCAACCATCGGCTCCACCCCGGCATCTCCACTGTCTCCACCATATCCATCTGCATCCACCGGCGCATCCTCAGCAACATCCCCGTCCTCGCTCTCCTCATGCTGGTACACTTCCATCGGCGGCACCTGACGAAGGTCTTCAGGAAGGCTATCTGGGTCCAACCACGCCGATGCCAACGAGTTGTGCAGATTGTCCAGGTACGTCCGCGACAAAGACACAACCAATGAGTGCGCCACTTGGCAAACACCCCCTCTACCATCGGAGTCAGGCAGAATGCACGGTTCACCCCTCGGACGGCGCACAATTAGACTGCTGATATGGTCCTGTATCTGGATGCAACTCCTTACTGCAAGGTCAACAACCCGCAGGCACCACTCAACATCAGCGGCCTCAATCTCCCCACGGCCATGCCCATCACGGACATTCGCAAGCCCTCCAAAGAACCGGCCTAGTGCCGTCACTGTGTCACGGCGCACACCCAGATTCGACAACTGTTGAGCTTCCGCAGGTTGTAGACGCTGGACTAGCGAAACATCCTCCACTTGTGCAGATGACACCCCATCTGCTGGCACCACCCTAGACGGGCCAGGTGGCAGCGCATCTGCAGACCCAGACGCAGCCGTACTCACCACTTCGGAGGCAGCTTCATCTGTCCCCGGCACAATGGCAGCACCAGTCACAGAAACCGCAGGTTCACGACCTCGATCTCGAAGGACTAGGCCGACCTGTAGGAACACCCACCATCGTAGTCACCCGATCCATATGCTGCACCATCGCTCTGTCAACCAGACTCTCCATCAAGGACGCTGCAACCTGTGTCCACTGGCGATTCCATTGCAATGAGCGCACTCGCTGAGCACCCTCACGCGGTTCGCGGACCACCGGATAGTAGGGAACACCCCGAACATTGACTCGACGACGAAGACAGTCCATGATCCGGTCCATGTGGATACACCCAGTCTCCCACGCATCCAACCACTCCACCAGACCCCAACGATATTCGGGACCTTCATCATTAGCCGCATGTGCAACAAGTGTGCGAAGCATATTCCGGAGGTCTCGTCGAGCTGCATCGGGAATGTGCAGACCATCCAGCAGCTCCTCCTCATCCCCCGTCAATTGCATAAAGGAGGAGGCATCTTCATCTCCACCCCATCCCAGTTGTAGCCACCCAACATCATCGTAGTCATCCTCAGGCTCAAAGTAGACGTCGTCCAACCTCGGAGCACCAGAGGCACTCCAGTCTACAACCATGGTAACACCCGCCGCCCAACGATCCCAATCTTCCCATTGTTGCGCTGTCCATCTTGCCGGGTGTGGATCATTGCGCGGAACACCCAGCAGCTGACGGAAGAGGGCACGATCAGCTTCCGCCCTCGGTCCATAGCGATCGACCCCTCTATGGAACACAGCCGGCCGAAACGTCCCATCATTCCACTGGTCAAGCCGCCCTTGGCGCCGTTGCGTACGCACAGGTCCTTGCCCTCCACGATGTAGTCGTTCTTCTGAATCCGTGCGTGGCCGTCCTATCCACTGTCCACTCCGCCAAAATCCAACCGGCTGCGTTGGCGGTGGTCGCGATGAGGAAGAGGAGGCAGCCGTGTTGGAACCATGTCTTTGGGTCACCCCCCTTGGCCGCGACGTGCTTCTCTGGTTAACATCCCTGCCGCTATGTGCTCTATCATTAGATCGTCCACGAGGATGTTCAGTCCAGCGATCACGCCCTCCACGATGTCCTGCGCGTCCTCGTTGAGGTTGTCCACCCATGTGTCCAGCATCTGCATCACGTCGAGCACCAACGTCTGCTGTCTGAGGTCTCGCCCAAGGATACTGATACCAACTAGCAGAGTCTCGATGCTGCGCTGACGCCTCATCCCAATTTGACCCAGGACCTCCTGCAGGCCCAGCTTGCCACCACGCACCATCAGCATCACGGTCCATCTGAACATCCCAGCGCCGACCTTGGTAGTCCCAGGCCGCGTTGCCGTCATTGCTGTGCCATCCATTCCAGCTCCACCATCCTTGAGCATCACGATGTTGCTGTTGCCAAGGGACGTCCTCCGAGCCTCCCCCTCCATTCCATTGCTGTGTTTGCCACCCGCCAGCCTGTTGTTGCCATGTATGTGTCCAACCATGTGGCTGTTGCCACCCGGCTGTGTTCCATTCGTTGGCAACATCCTCCGGCACAGGTTCAGGGTGCGGCTGCATGTCCCCATCTTGCTGTGCATTCGCCACCATAGCCGGATTGGACGACGTAGTCGACGAAGTTCCAGTGCAGGGCCACGGCAGCGTCGTAGAAGAAGTGGAGGAGCACGAAGACGCTGCGGTTGGCAAAGTGCACGATGTAGAGCTCAGAGAGGTAGTAGTGTACGCCCCCATGGAACCAGCGGGGCTCATAGACACCGTCGTGCTCACGTCCGCGGAATAGGAATCCACCCTGCCCTGTGTAGACGTCATAGTCGTTGGGGAAGAAGACACTGTCGTGTCACGACCATCTCGCCATCCACTTCCACGTTCTCCCACCACCAGCTCCGCACCTGTGTCACCAACGCTGCAGACAGAGCCCAGGAGGAGCCCAAGCACCGCCGCCACGACGAGGCAACGCCCGAGTCGCGCCATTGGCACAACGCAGAGCCAACTATCAAAGATCTCAAAGTACTCACCCAGGTAGAAAGATCACATCCTCGTAATCACACGGATAGATAGTGTTGTCTTCCTTTGATCATGCAAACAAAAGCTTGGAGCCAAAGTCATAGCACGTACACACCCAATCAACTTCAGCTTGCAAGGCTTCACTCAGAGTGGACATGCACGCACCACAGACAAGGTTGCACTTAGTAGCAAAGCGCTTGTTGCCGTCCACGACACCACGGCACATCCAAGGACTGTAACCAAAGCTGCAGAAGCTGCTTCCACCCATCCCGATTGAAACAGGCAGACTGCCAAGCCACCCCAAACACTGTCGCGAAGTTCCGCTCAATGTTCGATGCCTTGAAGCACCGTGGATGCCGAACACCCCCTGCATTAGGACTGATTTTTTGTTCACGCTGCCACCACGCAAGATTCCGCCAGCCGTGCATTCGAATCGGCAGACACTGTGTCCCACCCTCCCATCTGCGAGTCCAATGGCCCATCAATTGGAATTGGAGCCTCAAGATTTTCGTACTCCAGCGCTCGCCTCCCGAACGGTGCAGCCACTCCCGGATGTCCCGAAAGGACCTAGAGTTGTATGACACCCAATCCTCAAGTGGATCTCTCTTGATCCCAAAGCACAACCGCAGTATGCGCAATTGGATAGAATTCATGCTCTGGAGGTCTGCTGTCTCCCAATGCAAGGCGCCGGCACACCAACTCCAACACCCATCCACAAGCTTACACACCATGCTTGCCTTCTGTTTGCGAGACCCAACACCGCAGAGTAGGGATTTGTTACTGTGGAAGGCATTCCAGACCCGACTCATGATTTCCTTGGCCTGTTGGTTAGCGGACGCATCCAAGTCAAAGTCCAGGCCCAACACCCTAAGCGAGCTGCCAACAGGTAGAAATTCAACTCGCTCCCCCGCGATATCCAGGTATCTAACGCCCTTGTAGTACTTGGAAGCAATGACGCTAGTCTTGTTCCCGGCGAGCGCAAGGCCAATCTTGTGTAGTTCCTCAGAAATGAGCTTGATGTTGTGTGAGGTCCAGCGAGGGTTCTCACCCCATACAAAGATGTCATCTTGATAACATCCAACGTCTGCAGGACTGTCTGCAAGACATCCAGCAGGGCATCGCCAGCGTGCACCACTCTTGAGCTCGGTGATGATCTGGGCCACAATGAGACCGAACAACTCAGCGGACTCGGGGGAGCCCTGGCGGATACCTCGATTGCTGTTGATGGACACCCCAGCTCCTCCAGGTGCACATCCCTGCAAGACATTGTCATCCAAAAGGCGTAGGAGGAAGCGCAACTCAAAGGAGGCCTCGAGATGTTGGGACAGGTAGTCAGCAACGGCACCGCGACTGATGTTGTCGAACGCCCCTTTAATGTCGAGCTTCACCGCAATGACACCCATGCGCCACTCACGTGTCATATCTCTAAGGTGCCCAAACGCCCCATGCATGTCAGCACACCCTCTCCCCTGCCCTGCGCACGACCAAGGCGACGGTAGACGGAGCGCATCGAAGGAACGCCCCATGACGATGCGGGACAAGGTC